ATTGCCAGTACAGAATTGAAAGTGGAGACAAGGGTGGTTCAGCTACCTTCATCAAGTCCTGATTGTGGTTATCAATGAGAACAACCAATAAGGTTTTTGCCCTATGCTCATATATGAATCCAGATAATCAAGGGGAGGGAGGCTGCCATATAGCTAAGACCATGGTACAACAGCAACCTCCCAATTTTGGCCCCGCATCACAAGTTTGACTCCGTAACTGGCCAATGGCATCTGATTGTTCAGCACAACCTCTAAGGTCTCCTGGTGAAGAATTGCCACACCACATTTCCTGCCTCTTGGTCAGGACTGTTGCAAGATACCACACCTGATTGGACAGACCACCACAAGGGAGAACCATACACACAGAGAGAGAGACAGATGCACATACACTTTTCATCCAATCAGGTTTCAGTAATACATGCCAGGTCTGTCCTTTCATCTGGTTTTATTGGAGACAGGCCTGCCATTCAGTAACATCACTCTGAACCTGCAGCCTCCAACAATCTGATTACCTGGTTCTTGAGTTAAGACCTGTAGTGTGGAGGGAGATTTCCAATCTTTTATTCCCAGCACAACTTTCTCTCAGCTTCCAGCTCCTATATTACTTCCTCTTTTCCATTATCTTCCTCTCCATCTTTATGTTCTCTGTAGTCATTGTGTCCCCCCCCCCCAAACTCTACCCCATATCCAGGGTTGGTTGCAAAAATCAAATGAGGGAAATAGACCACATTTTCCTCTTTTCCACTCCCAGGCAGCCACTTGTTAACATGGCACTGAACTCCTCCATCAGCTCAACCCATTAAGCCTAAACTGATTCTCACCCAGCACTTTAGCCTCTCATCAGTCAGGAAAGTGGACATGACTGTTTCCACTCATATGCGTGCAGGCACACTGGTCTTTATGAAAAGCATTACCCCAAGACAGGCTGCCTTACATCAAAAATATCCTCACGAACGCCAGCATTTTCTTTAAAACGTTCAAAGGAGAAGATTATCAAAATTGCTTTGTCAATTTTTTGCTGACCTGTCCTTTGCATTCTTCCTATTTCACAGCCTAAAACTGACTTCTCTGTGATTTAAGCTCATTGCTTTTTGTTCTCTATTTGGTGGATTAGGTGACTATTGCATTGCAGTGCGGAGAGAAGCGTTTTTAAAATCAGGCTTAAAGTTTAGCAGATAATACAACTAGAAGAGAACAGCAAAGAGCGCCTGCTTTCTGGATTTCTGCCCACCCTTGTTAGGATATTCCTGCAGCGTCTGCCATATTACCATGTAAGAGCAAAAACTCACAAAAGCCTTGCAGATCTGCCCACTCGACATAATAAGAAAGAGCTGACAAGGATAAGATTGGGGCCGACGATTCCAAGGGGTTTTGTTGTGCGTTTTTCCAAGCACCAAAAAGCATGCTTGGCATTAATTGCTAATTCTATTTCAGTCAGCTTGGCTCCGAAACAAAAGCAACTAGCCGTAACTAACTAATAAGGAGTCTGTGGAATTATTTTGACTCTGTTGCATTTTCAAGCAGAAACATCAGACTTTAATCTCAGGTGCCTGGTTCTCTTATAAATATATTAGCACCATAATGGAAGAGTTTTGAATGGGATTATAACTACAGAGGCAGCTGCTGGGCCGGCCAAAGGTGTGTACGGCTGACAATACGGTTTAAGGAAATGAATGGGAGTCCAAGTGGCAAAACGGTGGCATTGCACACATGCAAAGAACCTCGCGGCTTAATGATAATGGGATCACGTTGCATATTTCAATGGATAGCCCAATACGCTTAGAAAAGCAAACTCTGGGCCCGCCCATCACCCACTGCAATTGCCACTCCTGGGGCTCAAAATAGTTCAACAAAGAACACACACATTTGAAAGAAGAGGCTGGAAGAAGAAGCTTTCATGAGCACAAGGCAACATGAATGGGGTGTTATCCAAGGGAACAGGCTTCAGAATCTGCTCCTCTTTCTTTAATATGGCCTTCTCCACTGAGCTGCCAGAGCTCTCGAGCCGCATATCCTACAACTCTTCAAAAGACATTGATGGCCAGAGGTATACATGTGTACATGTTAATAAATTGTTACAACCTGTCAAAAGGCACCTCACAGAAGCATTCCTGGGATAACTGAGGGTTGATGTAAATGTAATGTCCACATACACCAATGTTGCCCACAGATAAGTTTCCAAGATGAGCATACTAATCCTTTCAAATGCACCATAGCATAGCACAGCACAGCACAGCACAGCACAGCACAGCACAGCACAGCACAGCACAGCACAGCACAGCACAGCACAGAATAGAAAAGAATAACAGAGTTGGAAGGGATCTTGGAGGTCAACTAGTCTAAACCCCTCCTTAGACAGGAAACCATACACCACTTCAGACAAATGGTTATCCAACATGCTCTTCTTCTCCCTCTTTATATCTGAACATATCCCTTACTTGACAATCCTCTCATATTATGTCTCTATTACAGTGTTTGTCAACCTTGGTGACTTTAAGTCCTGTAGACTTCAACTCCCAGAATTCCCCAGCCAATTATGTCCCGTTTCATTTAATCACACACAAAAAAGCTTTTTTGAAATAAATTCACGGGACATAATTGCGTATTACAAAGGAGAAATTTGTCTGGTTGAAATAGCAGTGTTGGGAGACCGACTAACACTGTAATAGAGA